GAACACACTGCAGTCCAGCACACTGACACTGAGCTCCTGAACACACTGCAGTCCAGCACATTGACACTGAGCTCCTGAACACACTGCAGCCCAGCACACTGACACTGAGCTCCTGAACACACTGCAGCCCAGCACACTGACACTGAGCTCCTGAACACACTGCAGTCCAGCACACTGACATGGAGCTCCTGAACACACTGCAGTGCAGCACAGATGCCATGATACTGAACAAAGACTGGTACTGTACTATTTCTCAGGTACTGAACACGGGAGTTGGGTGGGTACTGTGTTTCGTTGAATTGAAGTTAACTGCAGTGTAAAAAGCAATGTTTTAGATAAAAAAATGTAAAGACAGCCTAATGAATTAAAGGACGAAAGTCCCAAATCTTTACACCCCTCCCCCACCGCATTTAATCTCATAAGTGCTTGAAGTTTTAAAAAGGGGAACAAACAAATGCTTGAACATATCGTGATTATAATTAATGATCAGTGCTTAATTGAGGAGTCTCTCGTCACAGCGCGAGAGGCCAGGCACGCCGAACGTGGCGCGAGAGAGACGGGAGAAGGGAGGTTACAAAAACACCGCGCGACTACAAGTAATGTATTGGTAGCCATGGAAACTGACGAGAGGCCTCAGCCAATGGGAGCGCCTCTTCTCCTCGGCCCTCTCCATAGAGACGCAGGGAAGCCATCTTGGACTGAGCGGCGTCTGGCTCGTACACTCTCGCTGAGGATGAGTGGCTCCAAGCCTAGAACCGAGCTTCCCCCAACCCCGGACCCCGGGCCAGACTCGGACCCCGGTCCCGCCGCCCCTCCAGCCGCCAGGGACCGCAAGGCGGGCGGCGGGGTGTTGAAGCGGCTGAAGTCCCGGCGCACTCAGGCGGATCGGCGGCCGGTGACGGAGGAGGAGCTGCGGGCGCTGGGGCGAGATATCACCCCGGAGGACGTGCTGGGGCTCCGGGCTGTCACCCGCGGTAAACACGGGCGGGGGAGGACGGGGAGCGCAGCTCCCTGGGCCCGGGAGAGGTGGGGGGACTCGGGGTGGAGGCGCGCTGCCGATCGAGGTGGAGAGAAGTGCCGGACCGCGCGCAGCTTGGCCGGCTGCAAGCAGGACGCTGGTATCCACTGGGTGTCTGGAATTAAACTCCTGTTTTGCTCTGTAAAAACCGTTCATCGGAGACGCCCGGCACGGAAACCAGCTCCTCCTGTGAGGATCGGTGCAGTGTAGTGAAGGAGCACACCCTGGAGGGGGCGCCACACCATCGCGGGGCACACACTACATAGATACACTTAATGTTAATGTTGCTTTATTGGCCCTATACAATTTCTTGCATTCGGAATTCGTATTTTCGCATACCCCAGCTTGCTCTCCATGAGACACAGACAAGGAGGGAAGCTTGGGGTTAGAGCACAGGGTCAGCCATTGTACAGCCGGCTGCAGGATTTGAACCAGCAACCTCCTGAGCCACAGAGCCACCGCTCCGCTACTTAACATACAGGGGCAGTTAAGGGAGATCTCGCCCTGCCAGTGCAGCGATGGGAGGAGAGCCATGTGATCATGGTGAGAGCATGCAGACTCCACTTGGAAAGTACAACATGCTGAATCAAGCCGGGAGCGGCCTACGTGCCTACCACATGGCTATTTTTACCCCATTCTCCCTGCCAGACACACTGCGCCGTCCTGCTGGCCAAGACGGCACCCTTCCTGCCCACAAGCGAGCCCTGTGCTGGCCTGATGTTCTCCCCACAAACCTGTCCATCTGCCACAGCCAGAGCCAGTATCTGCGCAGTAACTGGAGGCCCAGTAATTTATGCTAAAGCTGTGTTTCATATTGTTTCCAGTCCTGAGCAGCCTCAGGCTGCAGTCCAGTTGTGGAACTCTTCTCCAGAGACCTGCTGGTAAGCTGAAGCCTGGAAGTTTCATGAATGACCGTTTTTTAAACGGTTAGCAGTGCGTATACTTCTGTGTCTACTGGGCACTTGTTCACCCTAGTAAGGGGTAGTTAAGATGAAGTGAGTGGAGCTGAGATCGTGGTACATCAGGGTGCAGATGGTGTGGCTCTTCCCTGCCCTTCTGTTGATCACCTGCCAGTACAGTTGCCCTGGGCTTTGCTATTTGTGATCCAAAAACTCATGTTCCCCCTGTTTACAGGCTAATAAAAATATTTAAGGTGCCGAAGTAATCGGTGAAGACATCTTGATGATTAGGGGTTCTGTCTGCGTTGCCCAGTCTGCTTTGAGGGAGTCCAGCTGTGCAGCGACGGGGGGCTTCACCCCCCCCTCCCCAGATAAAGAGAAACATTGAGGGGCGCATGTCTCCTGCAGAGTGAAATTCACACCACAGGGACTACTCTTCCTCCAGAAAGGAGAATGCGGTAGATCAGGTCTACCTGGGCAGGCGGGAGTATGCTGTTAAAGCCCAGTGTGTGCCCAGCATACGGTATATGCGTTTGACCGGGCACCACTGAACAGCTTCTTCTGGAAAGCCCTCCATCCGGGTTGGCGGGACTCCTTGGAGACGGATATGCCTGGAGGGAGTGTGGAGAGGCGGCAGGGATCTGCTCCCTCCTCCAGCTCGGAGCAGACGTGCGAGCTGCTCTGGGACTGCCGAAGCGGAGGAGGGAAATGGGAATCTGGCTGGAGGGGATCCTTGTCCTGCAGGTCTGACGGTGAAATTGTCAGAGAGCGAAGCAAGCGTTCCCCTCTTCCTCGCTCTTCCTTGTGTGCTTCTCCCCTCTTTCCTTCCATCTGCATCCACACGGACAGTCCTGCTCGGTGTGCCCTGCTTGTCTGTGGCCTCATTGCTTTCTACCGGTGTGTTGTCCTGGGTTGACTGCTCAAGCTGTCTTTTCTCTCTCTCCGTCAGATTACCTCTGCCAGCCTGAAGACAACATCTACAGCATCGACTTCACGCGCTTCAAGATCAGAGACCTGGAGACGGGCACCGTGCTCTTCGAGATCGCCAAGCCCCCCAATGCCGGTAGGTCGGAGGGCGTGTGCGTGTCGGCTGGTCCCCTCCCTCCTGTTCCCTCTGGCCCTCGGTCCCTGAGCCTCTCTGTGTCTCTCAGACCCCGACGATGACGATGATGAGGAAGAGAACGGCGACGTGGACTCCAGCGCTGGCCGATTTGTGCGGTACCAGTTCACCCCAGCTTTCCTGAGGCTTTGCACCGTTGGTGCCACGTGAGTTTCCTCCTCTTCTGTTGCCCCGATACCTGAGCGCACTGGTGCCCCTCTGCTCCCTCCCTTGCCAACGCCTCCGTCTCTGTGCCTCAGCGTGGAGTTCACGGTGGGCGACAGGCCGGTCAACAGTTTCCGGATGATCGAGAGGCACTACTTCCGGGACCGGCTGCTCAAGAACTTTGATTTTGACTTCGGCTTCTGCATCCCCAACAGCCGCAACACCTGCGAGCACATCTACGAGTTTCCACAGCTGCCCGAGGAGCTCAGTGAGTGTTGCCCTGTCTGCAGCCCCCTCGCTCTCTCCTCCT